CATTTATGGTAATTACTTTTGCCGGTGCTTTGCGGCAAACTTAAGCCTATTGCGTGCATTTGAGCGCAGAACTCTTCAGCTGCGCTGATGGCACGCTCGCTCTGCTGCTGCTGGACACTAAACACTCTTGACAGTCGCGGTAGCACGGTCTCGTGTTGTTTCCACCAGCGCGGCGATTTTTTTTTCATCACTAATTGATGGATGTCTAAAATATAAAAATAAGGAGAAGCCTAAAACAGTCCATGGTTAGTCCCATCTGAACTATGACGTGAAAATTGGCCCGAAGCCCGGCCCTAAGGGCGTAAAAAAGTCAGGGCCCGGGCTGAAATGCAGGCTTAACTATTACTTACTATTACTTATGACTTATTTACATATGTAACTTGAAGTAATCCAAAAGTAATCAGATTACATTACTTTTATATTGTGGTACTTGGATTACGTTACTGAATACTTTTTTAATTAAGTAATTTGTAACTGTAACGGAATACATTTTAAAAGTAACCCTCCCAACCCTGCTTGTAAATTAAAATTACTTGTAAATTGATTTCGGCAAATTAGTTTGAGCGAATGCAAACAACATTATTATTGATCATGAGCCAAACATCCAGCAAACCAAGAAAACATGCAATCTACATGAGGGAAGATGTCTTTCACTTCCGGTGTATTCTTAAACTCAAGCACAAAGCACAAATTCAAGCAGAAAAAGCAGCCCACTCTCTAAAAATATACATTTTCATTCATTCATAGGATATGGCTGCAATAACATTTTAGTTCAAATTGTTTTAAAAAATGCTTTACTGGCTGATGTTTCAGACTTTCAGTTGTGGGGCTTTCAAATTTTATGCCATATAACCCTCGCCTCATTAATTAGTAATTTCACAGTATATCCACCTACTAAATTACTACACCACTTGCAGCCAGTCACAATTCGCAATGGTACAATTTACTCAGGTCGATGGTTTGTGTATAATGTGTGTGACTTTTTTTTTGTATGACATTAAAATTATTTTTAGAATAATTCTACATAAAAAGGTTAAGCAAAACAAATGTGATTATTTTTGAGAACCTTTTAGACACCTTTTATATATACTTAACTGCAGACATGGAAATGACATACACTATGTGGTATAGTACAAACATTTTAGTGTCCTTTATTCTGTCCCTTATTCTCCTATAAAGAATCACAATTGTCCCTTATTTTCCCTTTCTGAAGTTGGCAACCCTAGCTGCCAGTAGTCCTTTCTGATTGAAGCCAACCATTATGATTACATGTCATTAACTAACTGCTTGATTTTTACCGTACATTACTGCCATATGGACATCAACTTGAGATCCACTGATAAGCTATTACTAAATATAATGTAGAAACTTTAATTTTCTGTAAAGCTGCTTTGCAACGATTTGCATCGTGAAAAGCACTATACAAATAAACTTGAATTGAATTGAATTGAATTTATTCCGCCGATCTAACTCCTTTGGGATAGAATAAAATTGTAGTTCGGGGTTTCTCTGATGACTGTTATACAGCTAACAGCACAACATATCCCGAGCAATTGCAAAGGGTCACAAATACAAATGGACAGATGTCAACATAAACAAACTGTACTGCTGCATTGGACTGATATTCTACATGAACATGGTGTAGGTGAGCTCCATCACTGACTACTGTGTGTTCATTTTGTTCTTCAGTGCAAGAAGCAGCAAACAAATTGGAAATGCCAGGTATGGTTCACTGGTTTCTACAGTTGAACAGGAATTGTTTCCAGGAATGACACAAAGATGTGTGAATGTTCAAATCTCTGTGTTCATATCACTGTGCTCGATAATGTGCCTTTGGCCTTCATTATTTATATTTTGATTATATTGTTCAATGTGTTGTAAATAAACTACAACAAAGAAAGAAACAATTGCAAAGGGTCACAAATACAAATGGACAGATGTCAACATAAACAAACTGTACTGCTGCATTGGACTGAGATTCAAAAAGAACATGGTGTAGGTGAGCTCCATCACTGACTACTGTGTGTTCATTTTGTCCTTTGGCCTTCATTATTTATATTTTGATTATATTGTTCAATGTGTTGTAAATAAACTACAACAAAGAAAGAAACACATTATTTTAGTCTCCTCACATTCTTTCTTACCTTCCTCACAGTCACATTCGCCTTGACAGGCTGATTAGAGAGGATCTTTGTTTCTCTCAGGTGTGAATTACATCAGTATTAATGGCCAGTATAAATGTCACGGTTATGGATTTTTGTTTGTGTTAATGTCTTCGTTTTCATTTGACCTAGTTTTTCATGCTCCCTTGATTAGTTCATTCCGTTCACCTGTGTTTATTAATTATCTTGTTTGTCTCCATTCATTTAAGCCCAGTGTCCTCAGTTACTCCTCAGTTCCCTTGTCCTTTATTGAGTATGAGTATGTTTTATGTAGATTTTGGTTGTGCTGCATTTCCCCTGAGTTTCTCCAGCGTTTCTTCTGTGGATTTATTAAAAGACTGTTATCTGTAATTACAGCACCAACACACTCCCGTTACAGAATACAGGACAGATACAGTTTATTTTTAGCTGCGTTTTTTTTTTTTTTTCCACTCCTGCAAAGGATATCCCCGCTGTAAAGCTCCTTTGCATGGACCAAGAGGATCGCTCCCTCGAGGACCACACAAGGGACTTTCTACATCTGGCCAAACAGACTCATTAACCGGACAGCTGCCTGTGCACCTTTTATTTCGTCGGACTTAACACCTCGACTAAGGCATAGCTGTCCGGGAATGGTCCTCGAGGGAGTTTTGCCGCTTTCGTGGAGTGGGTGCTGGAGAGAAATCGACTGTATTTCTCTGTTTGCCCTGCTGAGGAAGACATCTCCAGCCCCACTCCCGAACCAAAGACCAGCCAGCCATCAGCCTGCTGCAGGGAGCAATCGCCTGAGCCCACCGCAGACGGAGAGCCTGAGCCTGCCACGACACGAGCACCAGCGTGTAAACCCGCGACTGAGCCCTGAGCCTCAAGAGACGTCTGACCAGGTGCATGAGCCGGCAACACCGTGTATCGCCGTGGGAGTCCTCGTGGAGATCGAGGGCTTGGAGGGAAGCGCCGCCCACACTCCCGACACTGAGGGTGAGCTGCAACTGGCCTCTGGGAGTTATTATGAGGAACTTATGGACATCTTTCAAGATGATCTAATTGACTGTTCCCCTGAACTTCCAGTGTTTCCTGAATCTCCTATGTCTCCTGAGTCTCCGCTGGTTCCATCCAGCTCTCCTGCGTCTCCTAAGCTCCCTGTGACTCTCATGTTCCCACCCAGCCTCCCTCTCTCGCCTCCTCTCTTAAAATCAGCCAGTTCTTCAGCCCTGTCTCCGCTGGTTCCTGTCTGTCCCTCAGCTCACCCTCAGTCAGCGCCATCTGGGCGCTCTGTTCCGCCTCGGGACTTCCAGTCTCCAGCTCTGCCTAGGCGTGAGGATCCCCTGTCTCCGCCTCCAGCCTCTGAGTCCTGGACTCCACCTCGGTCCTTCGACCTATCGGCTCCGCCTTGGCTCCTAGCTCTCTCGTCTCCACCGTGGCCCATCATCCCGCGGGCTCCACCGGGGTCCCTCCGGCTCCGCCTTGGTCAGGCGTCGACCATCCGTCGCCTCGGGACTCTACTCCTCCGGCTTCGCCTTGTCATTCCGTCCCTCTGGCTTTGTCAGGCTCCTTCTTCCCTCTGACTCCGCCTTCGTCCTCAGTTGCTCTGGCTCTGCCGCGGTCTTCTGGATCTCCGTCTCCGCCTCGGTCGCCTGAGCCTTCAGCTCCGCCTTGGCCCTCCGGAACTCGGGTGCCACCCTAGCACTCCGTCTGCTCGGCTCCACCTGGGTCTCCACCTCCAAAGGCTCAGTTTCCATTGTTCGTCTCCAGGGTGACGTCTACCAAATCTCCACCATGGCTGCTCCCTCCCTCGACTCCACCTTGGGGCCTCGTGCTGGCTGGTCTCTGGACCAATACCTGGCTCCTCCTGCTCCTGGCTCCTCCTGCTCCTGGCTCCTCCCTCCGTCTTCTCCACCATGGTTCCTCCCATCACCTTCTCCCAGTCCCTATCTTTCCCCTACTCCACGTCCTCCTCCAGAGTCCCCACCCCGCTAGGACGCGCCTTCCGGGAGGGGGGCGAACTGTCACAGTAATGGACTTTTGTTTGTGTTCCTGTCTTCATTTTCATTTGACCTAATTTTCCATGCTCCCTTGATTAGTTAATTCTGTTCACCTGTGTTTATTAATTATCTCGTTTGTCTCCATTCATTTAAGCCCGGTGTTCTCCTCAGTTCCCTTGTCCTGTATTGAGTATGAGTATGTTTTATGAAGATGTTGGTTGTGTTGCATTTCCCCTGAGTTTCTCCAGCGTTTCTTCTGTGGATTTATTAAAAGACTGTTATCTGTAATTCTCTTTTGTCTAGTGCTCCTTACAGCACCAACACACTACCGTTACAGACAAACTGTGTCTTATAAATGATAAATAAATATATATATATATATATATATATATATATATATATTATGTGTACAGGATGATTTTTCACATCATTTTATAGCAAAAACTGTAGTCTATCAGATCCAGTTCACAAATATTTACTATGAATTTTCTGGCCTTATTTCAGTGACTTTATTTTTTTTATTATTATTTTTTTGTTTTTTACTAACCACACATAAACCTTAGATTCTCAAAAATATAAACTTGTACACACATGTGATGAATATAGTATAATCAGATTTTAGACATTAATATATTGGTAACACTTTAAAATAGGGAACACATATTCCCTATTAACTAAGAGTTTTCCCCTCAATAAACTCCTAAGTTGCTGCTTATTAATAGTTAGTAAGGTATTTGTTAAGTTTAGGTATTGGTTTGGGTTAAGGGATCTAGAACATGTTCATACAGAATAAGGCATTAACCCTTTAGGCGCCAGGGATTTTTGGGGAAAATGCTGGATTTTGACATCAAGATTTCAAAAGCTTGTGGCTTGAAAGGGTTTAAAGATAGAGATCTACTGTAAATTAGAAAAATGTTGGGCATGACCGAAAGTTTATGTGGGGTTTAAATATACTCGTCTAATTCGCATATTATGACGTCATTAGAGGCGGCCATCTTGAATTTCATAATATTCAGGAAATAGTAGATATTGAATTGGTTTGAACTTATTTGCATGTTGTTGTTTTTTTTAATCTTTTTATTCTCATTCCAAATGATCAGAAAAGAGGAAACCAACAATAAAACAGGAGAAAGTACTAAATTATTACTATATTACTATACTATGTAGTAGTAAAACGCATGTGAACAGTAGCCTACTTTTTGATCAGTAAAACAGGAGAAAGTACTAAATTACCAACAGGCTCATCAAAGCGTTTGATCCAGTCCTGATACACTTCTTCATTTCTCAAATAAACCCAGTCACCATTGTCATGGCTATTTCCAGCCCTATTTAGATCCAGATCACCCCTGCTGCGTCTACCACGTCTCCCGGCTCTCCCACGCACAGCACAGCCACTCCCACCTCTTTGGGGCAGCTAGTGCTACTTTCAGCTCTATTTCTCCTACCCCTGCTGCCTCTACCTCTAGCAACAGCTCTCCTATGGACACTACGACCACGTTCTCCCCTGCCACCCCCATCCCCGTTGGGCAAAGGGTCGAAATGATCACTCGGTTGTGCTTCGTGAACACGAATACAAATGAGATATTACACCATATTAGGAACTACAGTCTATTTTATTAAGTATGACGTCTTGTTGCAATTTTGCGACTTTGGCGCTTAGATGGTTAATATGTACCTATAAGTACTAACAAACAGCCAATTTGCTAGTAATATGCATATATCACGGAGAGCGCCGCCGTGGTACCCTCTTCCGGCCATCTGAGGGCTCCATCACCGGAGTACTAACTAGCGCTGGGACAATAAATCGATGCATCGCGAATCGAGAAATGATTCTGCATCGATTCTGAGATTTTCCGAATGCATCGCGATTCTCTCTTGAATCGATTCTGAGCTTAATTTTTAACAGCAGATGGCACTGCGTGCTTCAAAAATAGCCGTATTCTGCTTGCTTCCAGTTCCTTACACACGCACCATTTAAACCTAAAATAATCATTCATAAAGCTCGAAAAGGTTGAAGCGAATTACAAGGATGTTGACAGTGGGCTGTGTTTACATTAATCTTGCATCATAAAAGCATAACAGCCGATGTGCAAGTACATTTAACCACTTACACCGAACGCACAAGCGCTCTTCTTCGTGAGCATTTGAGTGTGCAGTTAAAAACTAGCCTAGAGCGCCATCTGCTGTTAAACACTAAGCTCAGAATCGATTCAAGAGAGAATCACAATGCATTCGGAAAATCTCAGAATCGATCCATGAATCGTGATGCATCTATTTATTGTCCCAGCCCTAGTACTAACTCACTCAGACACTCACTACATTTCCCATCAGCCCCGTACCTGACACTGGTCATCTGTGCACACCTGTAGATCATTTACCTGGACTATTTAAACGGCACACACACCTTACCTCTTTGCAAAGTCTTGTTTTGACCCGGTGAACAATTCTGAGCATTACTACCTGTATTCTGACTGTCTTTTGTTGTGACCTGGATTGTATATAATCTCTGAACCTTTGCTGCCTGCCCTTGGACTCTTGCATCGTTATCTGGTATTGTGATTATATTGCTGCCTGCCCTGAATATTGCCTGCCATTGTTTTATGTCTGTTTGCTGCCTGCCCTGATCTACTGCCTGTTCTCTGATCATGATTATGCCTTCCCCGTTATACTGCCTTTGACCATAGCCTGTACGACCACGATTTGAATAAAGCTGCAAATGAATCCCAACAATAGTGATGCCTCGTAACAGCATGCTAATAAGCAACTAGTTAATAATGAGAGTTAAAATAAAGTGTTACCTATGTGTTTATAAGAAACCGAAAAAGCACAGAGGGTTAAAGTGGAGAGTACTCACTTTTTTGGTGCAGAGTGCACCAGCTGGACCCAG